TATCTTTTGTTTTGTTTTTCCAGTCCTGAAAAATTGAACTCGAGGCCTTGTGCTTGGCAAGCAAGCGCTCTAGCTCTGAGCTGCATCCTTGGCCCACATTGCTTTAAGTACGATAGCACTCAATAATTCCGTTATACTCCTTACTAGTCATAACATCAATAAACCTAGGTGGCAGTTTCCCTTTTTCTATGCTATTTAAAAGTCAAGCATATAAGAGCTGGAGAGATGGCTCCATGGTTTAGAGCATTTGCTGCTCTTGAAGGGCACCTGGGTTCGATTCCCAACACATTCATGATGGCTCACAATTATCTATAACACCAGTTCCAGGAGATCTGATGCCTTCTTCTGGCCTTAACATATATTCAGGCAAAACATTCATATAAATAAATAAATGGTCAACCATACAAAACATCTAAGCTAATATCCTAGCCTCATGCTTTATATAAACCAAATACTCAATAAATGAGCAATTGGTGTGTGAACAAAGGTTAAGGATAATAACAAATTACCATTAGGTATTCTTAAATGCAGCCAACTTTGCTTCTTGTGTCTTTTCCTGTGTGCTCAAGCTCCATATGAACTTGTCCCTGTGGGTAGGTCATTCAGACTCTGGGCTTCTCTTAGCTAATGATGCAAAAACTAAAGAAAGCTTATAGAGGGCACTTTGGAGAGGAAGACTGGGTCAGTAACAAAGGCGAGAACTGGCGTGTTGTGTAGATGTGATATGAAGTACCTAATAGCCAATGGTGCACAGTTGCTTAGCAACATGCTAATGTATAAAAGAGGAGGATGAAGAGACAAAATGGCATGCACACTATCACCTCTACACTTATTGTTCCTCCATGGCACATACCTCAAATAGAAACTTCCACAAATGTGTGACTTCTAGAAAGCAAGCCACTGACTTAATGATAGGGTTACAGCTTAAACCTAGTCATTGAGTCACAGGCAGCTCACACAGAAATGTGCAGGCAAATGTATGTGTGTCATGGTTGGTTTTCAAGTGCAGTGTTCCATCTGTTTAAGGCAGCAAGTGCTTACATACACTTCAGAGGTCACATGGAAGAGCATGAATCACCCATTCCTTTAAGTTATTATCTCCTAGAAAGTATAAATAATGGCACCAGGAGGTAGAATTCAGGTCACAACTGGAGAATACCAACTTATATATCCTCAAAAGTGGGAAAGATCAAGGCTTGGGAGCATTCAGACAGGCTTCAGTGGGGAAGTGGCATTATGGGCCAACCTTTAAAAGCCAAAGAACAAAAGGCAAAATGTTAAATGGGATTCTGACAGGTACGAGTGATAAGGAAACATTTCCCAGTGTCAGGAGGTAATTTCAGGTTCACCCATCACAATGACAACCCAAGTTCACTGAAACATAGGATTCTCCTGGAAGCTGTTACCAGATTGTAGCAGTATTTGAACTCCAAGTCCAGAGGCCTGTGTTTTGTCTGATAGACACCAAGACGTGCTCAGGTATTCTTGAAACATATCAGAGCTATGCCTTCCAGAGATTAGTGTGGTAATGGTAGGCATCTTAGTCTAGTAGTGTTGCAATAATAAAATGCCCGAGGCTAGTTCTTTCATAACTGATATTTTATTGGTCATGTTAAGATACACTGACAGCTAATTCATACGTAATTATTAACACACATACTGAAAACAATCAAAAAGCCACGGATTGTACTGTTTTCCTTAAACAATGTTTCTAATAACTTTCCAGCTTCCAATATAGAAACATTCATCATTTGGAAGTAAAGACAGAAGGCTATCCTCAGCTCCATAATAGTTCTGCTTAGCTGAGCTAGATGGGACTCTACCTCAAAAAACTATATAGGTGCTGGAGAGATGGCTCAGTGGCTAAGAACACCTGCTGCTCTTGCAGAGGACCCAGTTTTGATTCCCAGAACCCACATGGCAACTCATAATTGTTTATAACTCCAGTTCTCAAAAGATCTGACGCCCTCTTCAGGCCTCCATTGGCAATATACACACATGGTGCAAAGACATGAATTCAGGCAAAACCCTCATAAATAAATATTTTAAAGTAAACATATGTATGAGAGAAATTTTCTTTAAGATAATATTTATTAATATCTTCAAACATTGGTGTGTGTGTGTGTGTGTGTGTGTGTGTGTGTGTGTGTTCACATGTATGAATGTACAGAGGGCCAGAGGAGGACCTCAGGTGTCCTGCTCCATCACTCTTCACCTCATTCCCTTGAGACAATGTATCTCACTGAACCTGGGCTTGGGATGGTTGCCAGCAAGCCCAGCAACCCTTGTCTCTTCCCCTGACAGGGTGCCGGGGCTACAGGCACACAAGTGGCCACACCCAGGGTCTTAGGTGAAGGCTGGGGACCTGAAGCTTTTGAGCAAACGCTCTTACCTGGGAAACCACCTCCCCAACTGTTCCCTTTCCCTTTCTCATCACCTTCTTGTGTAAAACATTGTTTCCCACCTCAGGAGCAGGTCTAATCGATTACCTCACAGACTCATGTTAGACTCTTCCTCCATCACTCCATGGGCTGAGCTGACCTTCTCAGACATCTTGGTAGCACAGGGGCACATATGAGCCTTCTTTCTTCTTTAGTAATTTCACCTTTCTTGAGGTCTTCATACATGAGTATCTTAGTTAGGGTTACTACTTCCTTTGATGAAACACTATGACTAACAGCAACTAGGAGAGGGAAGTGTTTATTTGGCTTATATTTCTGCATCACTGATCATCATCAAAGGAAGTCAGGACAGGAACTCAAACAGGGCAGGAACCTGGACACACAAACTGATGCAGAGGCCATGGAGAGGTGCTGCTTACTGGCTTGCTCCTCGTGGCTTGCTCAGCCTGCTTTCTTATAGAAGTCAGGACCACCAGCCCAGGGATGACACCATCCACAATGGTTTGGGACCTCCCATATCAATCACTAATTAAGAAAATACCCCACAAGCTTGCCTACAGCATGTTCTTATGGAAGCATTTTCTCAACTGAGATTCCCTTCTCTCAGATGACTCTGGCTTGCATCAAGTCAACATAAAATTGGACAGGACAATGAGCAATGCATCTGCTTCATTCCTGTCCCTTTATCTTCCACCTACTATTCCACCCATATCCCCATAACCAAATTCATGACCTTTTAATTGGTGTGTGTGTGTGTGTGTGTGTGTGTGTGTGTGTGTGTGTACACATAACCTACTGCATCCATTCAGTTTTGCTGTGCTCAGGGCTGACCTCTTCATTCCCTATTTGCTATCCTAAAAAAACCAGCATAAGAACAGCACATATATAGCAAATAGGGAATGAAAACTCAGAAGTCTGATTTCCCCATCATTAGAGTGGGAGAACAATAGATGTCCCAGGACAATGGAGGGAACCAGTAGAAACACAAGGAAAGAATCTGAATTTGCTATGTGTGAAGTGCTCATGAACTGGTAGGTGATAATGTTAGCAAGTGGGAAAAAACACAGATTTAGAGTTTGGTAATTACCCACCTGAAGGCCATATCTGAAGCTGTGTGAGTAATGACAACGGGAAGAAGAGGGGTTGGATTGGATTCTTGAAAATAAAGGGAATAGATCATAACTAACCATATTTGCCATCTTTGTTTAACCCTTTACAAAGATTACTTAGGACTTTTGTTTAAAAACAAGTCAGCTTCCTAAGAAATGCTTTGCCATCAAGAGGGGTAGAGGTAGATACCAAAAGCTATAGGAGAATGAGGGCCAGGATAATATAAAATGAGTAGCCAATCATATGTGTCCTTACAGAAACACACTTCAAAACATGGAGGGAGGAGCTTAGGCGAGCTCAACAAGGAGATGGTTGGCTGGTCCCTTAAAGTAGAAGTTAGGAGAGGGAATGGAATTTTTTGTTTGTTTGTTTTTCAAAAAAGAAACTTTAGAAGAGTATTTGTTGAAGAAGGAACGAGTAATAAAGAGGGAATGGCTGAAACTTTGTGTGTAAGGAAATTTTTGTCTTAGCTGAAGGACTAGAAAGTAGAAATGTGGCCAGGTGCCAAAGCAGGGGTTTCTCTTCTAATGCAGAGAATCTGGGGAAAGTAAAGAGAAGCAGAAAGTAAAGCTGTCTGAGAAATGCTCAAGGGACCACAAGTCGAGAGATGTCCATCTGAGCTACTCATGGCATAACTGAGTGTAGGGAAGGCTTGAGGAAAGAAGGCTTCTGAAGAGAAGCCGAAATGTAGTCTGCAGTCCCTGCAATCCAAGAGTCCTTCTGTTCTAAGTTCCATCTGCACAGAAGATCTTGTCCACACCAAAATCCTCAGTACATCGCTATAGCAACACGAAAGATGGTAAATCTGACCCACAAGCCTCAACATTTACAGAAAAGACTCAGAAGCCAGGCCATTGCAGAGGACTTTGATGATAAACAGATCCAAGTTCCTGGGCACTCCGAGGAGTCTCAGAAGGTCATCTGAGACTATGAACATTCAAGGTGGGCACACGCTTGCTGTGCCCAGGCACTAAGTCTACCATGGTCTGTCTGGTGAATTCAGACCAGGACTGTCTTAGCTTTTCTCTGATGAGGCAAAGAAATCTCCATGGCAAGTGGCTAACCTGATGAGAAGTAGTGGGAAGGGAAGAGTGATTTACAGGATGCCTCCAGAGGAGGAAAGAAAGCAGGTATAAGCATCTCCTCCAGTCTGACTCAGCACAGGAATTACCATGAAGTGTGTGAGGGTCTCCTCGCCCAATTCCCAGAGGAAAATTGTAACCGCCAAGAGACAGATCACAGTGAAGGTCAAAGCTTTGTGGTGCTTCATCAAGTCCCACAGATAACATGGTGGGACTGCTCATTTTCAGGATCTTGGAGCCCACCTTGAATCTTATTGCACTGAGGTTATTCATACATCAATGTCTGCGGTAAACTGGGAATAAATTTCAAATGTAACATTTAAAAGAAAGCTATGTCTATTGTTCTCATGTCTTCTGTCCCACGGTCCAAGGATTATCATCCATCAGCACTCAGGTTGCCGTATCTTCAGCAGAAGCAGCTCTTCACCACCACGCTCAGCCCAGGATTGCTGAGGAGTATAACGATGGGGTGTATCCCTGTGCACAGGTGAATCACCACCTGCCACATCCAGTACCTGAACTCCTGAAACGGCGTGTCGCTGGCAGAACTCAGCACCAGGGACAGGAAACAGGAGGTGAAAAGGATGACGAAGGAGAGGAGGGTGAGGAGAGCTTTCACATGGGCCTGTGCTCTGACATCCTGAAGTCCTGAGGAGGCCGAGAGGGTCTTCTTCATGTGTCTTAGCAAAGACACGAGGAGCAAAATCATGAAAATGCTAAAGATGAAAGTAGGGATTGTCCACATAATCATCTTTATAGAAAAGAAGTAGAATTTCTCAAGGGTATTTTTTAAGCTATTCCCAGTGACATTCCAAGGTTGCTGGGTGCTCTTTACAAAGCTGTTATATATCAGATAATTGCCTAGGAAACACAGGATGCTTGTTAAGCTTGACATCCCCACTGCACTGAGCAACATGCATGGTACCCACCCGGGCACCCTGTACTTTAGCCAGACAAAGACGGGGTGGGTTAGGGTTGCAATTTTCACACAATAGAAGACACCTAGCAGGGAGCAGAACCAGATGGTGGCAGCAGTCAGGAGGTCCCACATCAAGTTTAGGAGCTGCATTGCAGAGTTGTACGGGAAGACTGTGGGGTTCAGGAAAACGTAAATATTCTTACCTATCACCACCCACTGCAGACAGAAGCGCCCGGCTGCTAGACTGATCAGTAGCTTATTATAAGCAGACAGTGTTCTCCGGAGCACCCATTTCGAGCCCAGTGCTATAACGATGCACCCGTTGCCCACCACTGCCACCAGGGACAACAGGACTAAAATGACAAATAAAGTGATGACTGTCTTATCAGCAGTCTGGCATCCCAGAACTGTGTGGCCTGTGCCCATTTCTCCTGGAGACATGATGGGTCCCATGAAGAGCTATTTGCTGCTCTAAGAAGTCTCTCCAATACGCTTGTCTCTCCATATGCCCTAAGTAGAGAAGTGAAGCCACAGGTGAGGAGGATAAAAATGTTTCTTCTCTTCAGAACAGATGCAAATATGGCCAAGGATAAGTTTCCAAAGTCTCCCTGCCTACCTGTGAATTTGCCTGATCTCCTGCCTGTCTCCTACCCACTGTCAACATCAGTGTGAATAATGTATCAGGCCCTTGCATATGGTGTCTCTTACATAGGCAGTTTAGCCTCTCTAAGCTGATACCTAAGATCACACACCTGGAGCTACTTGGTAATAAAATCCGCAGAGCGTGCATCCTACTGACTAGTAGAGATCATGTCCATGACGGGGAGTCAGAGGTGACCATCAGGTTCCTGACATCATTCTAGCTGCCGCCTCCCACCCTCACCCCACCCCACCCCACAATATTTAGTTCTTCCAGCAACCCCATGAAACAGGTACAGTAAGAATATCCCTTTGACAGAGGGGTGATGAGCAAAGGGGTCAAGACCAGGCTGGGGAAACCCATAGAAACAGCTGACCTGAACAAGGGGGAGCTCATGGACCCCAGACTGATAGCTGGGAAACCAGCATAGGACAGTTCCAGACCCCCTAAAAGTGGGTATCAATTTGGAGGTCTGGTTAATCTATGGGGCCTCTGGAAGTGGATCAGTATTTATCCCTAGTACACAACTGGACTTTGGGAGCCCACTCCACATAGAGGGATACTCTCTCAGCCTAGACACACAAGGGAGGGTCTAGGCCCTGCTCCAAATGATATGACAGACTCTGAAGATTCCCCCATGGAAGGCCTCACTCTCCCTGGGGAGCAAAAAGGGGTTGGGATATGGGGGTATGTGGGGGGGAAGGGGAGGAGGGAAGGAAGAGAGAACTGGGATTGACATGTAAAAGAAGCCTGTTTCTAATTTAAAATTGGTGTAATTACAATTATAAAAAGAAAAGACAAGAATATCCCTTTGACTGAGAGCCAGAATATTGATCCAAAACTCTCTCTTGAGAGAATTTAGTTCTAATCAGTTGAGGATTCAGCATCCCAGGACAGAATAAGAGAGACAGTTACATGGAATGAAGCAGGAAATTTCTCTCAGAAATTTAGACAATATTCTGTTAGAGTGAACTTCACAGTGGTATCTCACCAAGAGAGCTGTACACTAATGGGATAGGCAGTGAGAGTCCTTCTCAGAGGCAGGTTCAACCCAAGCCCACTCCTCACTGTGAGGGTTTGGGCATACCAGTGAGCCCTCTGTTTGCTTGTGTCCATCAAGGTTGAGAGTTCACAGATAGAAGAAATGAAGCCTCAAGTTACAGACGAAGACTCGTATTTAAATCATAGTTAACTCATATCAGAAAACTAAGAGCTACACTGATTCCAGGACCAGGCCCATTTCACCAGAGTTAACAACATAGCTTGCACCTCTTCCACCTTAGCAGGTATGGATTCCATCTAAATGACTGTTTCTTGGCCGATGAAAGCTTTAGGGCTGGCTGGCTGGTATAGTGCATCGAGGTACTTGCCAGCAAGCCTAAAGACCTAAGTTCCTTCCTTGAAAAGCACACAAAAGTGGAAGGAGAGAACTGACTCCACAAAGCTGTCCTCTGGTCTCCACACAGGACACCTTGTTGAGAGCCACAAGCACATATATCCAGGACTGAGAAATGGCTCAGTAAGTGCTTACTGTACAAGCCTGAAGACCTGAGTTTTCTCCCCAGCAACCATGGAAAACTCCAAGAATGACCAAGAACCTGTAATCTACCCTCTGGATATGGGAGACTCTAGGAATTCTGGGATTGGCCACTAGCCTAGGGGTGGGGGGAGATTGAGCTCTAGGTTTGGTAAGAAACCCTATCTCAAGGATAAAGGAAAGAAGGCACACAAAATTGACACAGTGACCCTGCTTTCTTGTGAAAAATGCCAGTTCCCAGGGAATATTGCTCCAAACTTCCTTATTTGTATCCTGGTTTCTCTGGCTGACTTTTGGCTGTGTTCTACTGGAGCCTGGAGAAATGAGACAAGCTGGGTCTTTGAACTCTGGAGTTTGGGCAGCCACAAACCTTGAAGTTTGGAAAAACTCCTATCTCTTCCTTCTACCTCCTACACCATCAATGGCTCATAAGATTTAGGATGTATAATTAACCTCAGTTGATTTAACAGTTATTTGTAAGCATCTCCTATTCCATAATAAGGGTTTGAAAAGCACAGGGCTCCAACAGGGAATTAGTTGCCATCAAAGAGCTTTCATGCACAAATCATAAACCACAAGCATTTACTGTGCATATATTATGTGCAAATTAAATTGTTTCAGAAAGGTGAGTAATTTCATATCTAAATACTTAATGTATTTAAATATATGGTGTGTTTTCAATATTACTTGCTGTATTTTGTGTGTAGGAGTGGTGTGTGTGTGTGTGTGTGTGTGTGTGTGTGTGTGTGTACCATGTGTCTGCCTGCCTGGTGTCCATAAAGATCAGAAGAGCATGTCAGATCCCTTGGATCTGGAGTTACAGATGGCTGTGAACTACAGTATGGATGCTAGGAACTGAACCTAAGTCCTCTGCAAGAGCAGTATGTGCTCTTAACCACTAAGTCATCTCTGCAGTATCATATTCCATGGTGATTTTCATCATTCTTGTATTTATGACATTTTGCTTTCTTTTATTTAGATTTAGTTTTTAGGTAGACACAAAGTCTGATAATTTTGAGTTTTTCATATTCTTTTTCTTTTTTCAAGACAGAGTTTCTGTGTGTAGTCCTGGCTGTCCTGGAACTCACCCTGTAGACCAAGTTGGCCTCAGACTCATAGAAATCTGTCTGCCTCTGCCTCCCAAGTGCTTGGATTAAAGGTGTTCACCACGACTGTTGGCTCATAGTCTGCATAAGTGTAAATGTGAAAGTAGTTTGGTAGGAGACTAGATTGGTATTCTGGATAGAAATTCCCAACCCAGTGATCTACATTGGAAGATTAAAAGAGAAAACAGCAACCTGAATGCTGTCTTTTAAACGCTATGTATCTTCCTAGTCATTCTCAAGAACTCTTAGGAGGGTTCACAGAACTGGCTATATGATTTAGCAAGCAAAGGCACTTGCTGCCAAGCCTAACAACCCGAGTTCCATCCTCAAGACCTATATGGTGGAAGGAAAACCTATTTCTGAAAGCTGTCCTCTGGCTTCCACAGACTACAGAGTCATATCCCCCCCACACACACACACCCAACACATGCACACCACAAATAAATGTTGAAAAGTAATTCAGCCATGTTTCAGAGATGAATAAAATGCTGTGCTATATGCCAGAAGAATAAGGCAGTAGAAACACAATTATGTAACCTGGAAAGACAATTTTATGGTTAAGGAGTGCTCAGTGTTTGCTGCTCTTTCAGGGACCCTGAAATTAGCACCCATGTCAGCAGGCTCACACAGCCCATAACTGTAGCCTCCTGGCCTTTGTGTGAATACACACACACACACACACACACACACACAATAATAATAATAATAATAATAATAATAATAATAATAATAATAATTTTAAAAGAAATGCATGTGTATTAACTATGTCCAGATATCCAGATATGCTTGAGTTCCATCAGGGATTCACTTGAGGCCATGATGGTGTCTCTGGCTAAAAAGTTGGGCTATAAAAGGATCCCAGAGCCAGCGGTGGTGGTGGACACCTTTAATTCCAGCACTAGGGAGGTGGAGGAAGGAGGATACCTGTGAGTTGGAAACCAATCTGGTCTACAAGACCTAGTTCCAGGACAGCCTCCAAAGCCACAGAGAAACCCTTTTTTTTTCCTTGGAAAAAAAAAGGATCCCAGAGTCCTCTCTGCCACATTAGTGTACAGATAGATGCTTGCAACCAGGAAGAAGGATGTCATCAGAACCCAACCATGTTGGCCCTCCACATTTGAGACCCTAGCACTGTAAGAAATAGTCACTCAGTTTATGGTATTCTGACACAGAGCCTAAACCAACCGAGACACAAGTATATGCATATTTATTAATTATCATCATGTCTACTTTCATCATTTTGTTATATGCATCATAAAAATGTACAAATAGATAGGAACTAAGCTAATTGAAATTGAAATGGTCACATTTTTATTTCCACTCCTGGTATGCCAATTTTTTCCAAATTCTAGTCTTGAGAATGCTAACCTCAGCAACAGTTTCCAGGAAGTATCCCTTGGGCAAGACAGGAAAAAGTAAAATTAGCAAAATTAACAATTGCCATGTAGCTTGGTCCTTAACTATAATCAAAGCACTCAGAAAGCTGAGGCAGGAGGATTGTGAGCAGCCCAAGTTACACGAGAACAGCTCTCAAAAACACCAAGGCATGAGGACATAGTTCCATTTTCAAGTCCTCATCTAGCGTGGGCAGTGCCCAGGGATGGATGTCCGGCACAAACACCAAACAAAACAAAATCTGAAGATTTCCTTTGTTTTCCATCCGTCTTCAATTAGCCAAAGTCCAAGCGTCTTTTCACATCAGACAGTACCATCTCACTGAATATGAGGTTGTGGACAGGATCTACAGTAGCACAGACTCCTACTGCCCTCAGTCTCCTAGGTCAACCTGAAAAGGACCTTTTGGTGGGATCAGCTTTAGTCAGGGTGCAAATGATGAGGGGGAGTAAAGACTGGGAAGAGAGAGAGAAAGAAGGAAACAAGAAGAGAAAGGAAGAAGAGGAAACTGGAAAGAGGCTGGGCTTAGCAGAGCAGTGGCAGAGGGAGACATTTGGGGGTGACAAGATGGGTGCCATGCAGGAATCTGTGCCATGGAGACAACTGATAATGGCTACATCATTTCACTAAGGAGTACAAACAGAAACGAGTCTCAGAAAATAGGCTTCAGGTTGCTTTCATAGAGAGCCACAGGAGCCCACAAGGGGCTGAGGCTATTGGCTAAGAAAGCCTGCGTGATCTGGAACTCAGACCAGGGACCACCAGAAATGAAGGGGACAAAGGAAACACAGAGAGTTGGGAGTGGGGAATAGGGAGCATGGAAGAAGTTGAAAAGAAAGAAGGAAGAGAGAATGTATCCAAACCTTCTGATTTCTGGCTACATATTTGCTCATTTGTCACAGTCCTGACACTGGTCACTCTCTGAGAGAAAAGACACCTCTGGTTCAAGGCCTTCAAAGCTTATGATTGGATAGTGTGGGCATCCTAAAATCTCATCTTCAGGGTCTTTCTCAGCTTGGGGTTGCTAAACACCAGCATAATGGAGTTCAAAGAGATGCTCATGTAGATGATGACTTCTCTGGCCCAATACCAATGACTCTGCATGGTTTTGACTTTTGTAGCAAAAATTATCAGGGACAGAAAAAATAATATATAGAAAATGAAGAAGAAGGTAAGGGATTTCAGAGCCATGGTATGAGCTTGAACACGGAAATCACCAGGCCCGGGCCGATGGTCCCTCATCTTCCCCATGTGCCGGTACAGTGAGAACATGAGCGACAGTATGGACACCAGGAACAGGAAGAAAGGAGTGAGCCACATGAGCACGGCGTGAGACAAGTAACAATACCGATAGAAGTCCAGGGTCATGTGACCAAAAGTACAGTTTCCAAGGGAACCCTGGGAGACGATCATCTGAAGAGCTAAGATGTTCCCAGTAGCTGATATGACGGCTGACAGGCCACCCATGATGACAGAGCTCAGCAGCAGCCTAGGAACTAACTGGGAAATCCTCCACTTGAGCCAGAAGAGTGCACGGTGGGAGAAGGAGGAGATCTTCACACAGTAGAAGATGGCAAGCCAGGCCGTAAGCCACAAGATGAAAGTGTTGGTGAAATCCCAAAGGATGCCAAGAAGGTTTGCTTGCTGACAGAAACCAAAGGAGGCCAGGAGGTTGTTCAGGATGGCTAGCCCGTGTAGGCAGAACCGGGAGGAAGCAAGAGAGACCACAATCATGTCAGCTGCCGACAGGGCCCGGTTCCGAGTCCACTCCCTGACCAGCACGACGATGAGGAAGCCATTCTGCAGCATAGACGCCAACGACACCAGGCAAAAGATGGTCATGAAGATGAGTGTGGGTGTGGACGGCATCTGGTTGGGGGAGGGTCTGTGCAGACGGCCCCGGAGCACTGAGACGCAGGCACAGGAAGAGAGAATCCACAGGCAAACCCTCGCTGCGATCGAAGACGTGGAAACTCTCACCCTGGATTCATTCAAAAGCCCAACCAGATGCAAAGTTCCAGTGCCTGGGGCTTGAAATGATAAAAGTTACCTTCTCCCTAGACATGTAAATCACTCTCAGTTCAATGACACTTGCCTCAATTTGTATAACGTGCATTTGTCTATGCTGCCATGGCCAGCTGCAGGCAAATGTTAGCAGAAGATACTCCAGAGTGTTGGGGAATGCCCCTCTTTTGCAGAGTGCTTCTCTCTCTCTCTCTCTCTCTCTCTCTCTCTCTCTCTCTCTCTCTCTCTCTCTTCTCTCTCCCTCTATTTCTCTCTCTCTTCTTTTCACTATTTCTATTTATTCTTTGACAATTCATATATGGAAACAACGTATTTTGACATATTGTGGTAGCGATTCCTGGTAGGGAAGAGAAAATAGCCACAAGAGCCAAGCAATATCCTTGAATACACATAAACTTGACCACGTCTCTTCTGCACCCCACCCTTGCTTAATAAGCCTACCCAGAGACCTTGGAGGAAGGACAGAGACACAGCCACGTGATTCAGTCTCTGCCAAGATGCTGATGTGAGACCTTGCTATATCCCCCAAGCGGCCCTCCAGGCCATCAATGGAATCTTACCTTAAGGCTACAAAGTAACTAATGCAATTATAGGTCACCAATATATGGAGGCAAACAAAACATTGTCAAAGCCCTATTTTCCTGTATTCATCACTCAGTTTGTTTACAAAACAGAGTTCATCTGAGTCTGTGTATTCATATTAAAGCCGTTTTCCTAAAGACCCCTCAGTATTCTTTCTTCCTGTCTTTTCACTCAGAACCCTACAACAATATCCAGTCCCTTGCTTCCCTCCCCCAGAACCCTTTCAACATATCACACACACACACACACACACACACACACACACACACACCTTCATGTCTTTGGGAGTTTTGTTTGTTTTCTTGCTTGTTTTATATAACTGAGAGCAGTGAATGTTTCCTGTGTGGACAAGGAGGTGAGGGACAGAGCCTTCCACTACTATGTCAACAACCTCCAGTGGCCACACCCATGAAGAAAAATGACTCTCCAGCTAGCTTCTCACCTAGAGGTGAGGCTTTATGACTCTCCCCTCTGTCCATGCTGGAATTTTGATTGTCTTGACCTTGTGATGCTTTGTGTAGGCAGCCACAGCTGCTGTGAGTTTGTAAGTGTGATGGCCCTGCCGTGGCCAGGGTACAGCATTTCACAGTGGTCCTCCCACCCAGCTCTTCAATTCTTTCTAGCACCTCCTCCATGATGTTCTCTGGGCCTTGGGTTAAGGAGAGTGATGTCAATGTCCACTTTAGAGCTGACCCTCACAGTCACTTATTCTCAGCACTTCAGCAGTTGGAGTTTCTACACTGTAGCTGCGGCAGAAAGAAACTTCTTTGACCAGTGTTGAGAAGAGTACAAGTCTCTGGCTATGAAGAAAGCACAGATATTTAGAAGGCAGTTTGATATTCCCTGATCGAGTCTATGACCCCACCCCCACCCCCCAGGCACAGACTTTTGGCCAGGTTTATAGGAATGGGCAGGAAATCCTTCCTGTATAGCAAGCCTCAAATCCAGTCAGAAACTTTTCAGAGTCATACCACTATTGCACTAGTGGACGCATCTTGCCTGGCAAACACATTGTTTCCTAAATATACCATTTCTTTCTGTAGTACTTCTTAAAAGATACTGCTGCTCATATTTCCTTCTTTGAAACAGAACCTATCCCCGAACCTTCATGCCCTGAGTAAATATTTTATTAAGTGCCCTCTAGACACTAGGTCAGTGACGTAGCTAGTAGACACCAGGTGTGCAAGTATTGGAAAATCTCCCTACCCAGTGAGTGACCTTTAGAGATGCCTGTTAAACTCCACAGTGGAGTGTCTAGCTAATATAGGAACTTCCCTGAAGTATTACAGTCAGATCTGCTGCCTGTTAACATCTTAGCTTTGATGTGTTTTACAAATAAGATTTATTTGTTCCTAAAATGGCACTGAGGAAATGAGAAAGTGGGTAAACAGTGATGAGTAGGAAGGAATGACCAGAGAAGGGGAAAAAATGGCCCAGAAAGTCCATCACAGTCGAAGCTGAGAAACAAAACTCCATCGAGAAGTGCTGAAGACAAATCTGGGACCAAAAGAAGAGCCTGCCTCGTGTGCACTGAGCTTCACTTTACAACAATACGACAGGATCGTAATAACTATCCTGTCAGAAGGCTTGCCATTCAAGTGATTGATGTCACACAGGTTACAGCTTGCTTTCACCACCAGCCACACAAAGTAAGCCAGTTCAGATCAACCAGCCCGGCTCAGGGAGCAGTGCAGAGGATCTCACCAAGGTAAGCTAAGAAAGGAAAGAGCCTGCACACCAACAGTGGGAGGCACTGAAAGGAGAAGAATGAAGAGAAAATGAGGATGTGGCATAAGACACAGAGGCTGGGACACGCTCAAGACAGGCGTTCCCTCTTCAGACGCCAGCATTCCTGGAGTCAGGGTGTTCTAGGATGGCTCACAGAAAACAGCCTCGCTGGTGATGTTCTCTGACCCCACTAGGGATCCCACAAGCAAGAAGCCTGTGTAAGAAAGACCTAAGTGAAATGAGAACAAGCATTTGCGGATTCGCAGTGCAAACTGTAGGGGAAAAGATAAACAGCCAGCTGGAGAACAGCATCTGGTTGAAAAATTGATTTGTTTTTGCTTTACATTTTTTTTTCCGTAACAAAATTTTCAAAAGGTTCTTGAAGAAACAATAAGGCAAAAGGCCTGACTCTGCAGGCAGCTCCAGGGTCCAGGCCCAGCGCCTCACAGGCTTCCCTCTGGTTCTCCTGGAAGATAGCAGCAGTGAGAAGCCTCTGAGCGTTTCACAATGTTTGGCTCTGCTCAGAATTCCTGGGCCAGAGGCCAACTTCCTGATGTCATCATTGAGCAAGTTGAGGCCATGACACCCACGCCCTGCTGTAGCCATGTGTAACTAGGTGTACACTGCGTGCTCACAGGCACCTTCGTGTTACTTGTTCTAGCCCCACAGCAGAACCCTCATCAGAACAAGGTTCTTCTTCCCCAGACTCCACCTTCTCTGCAGCCGGACAGCACCACCATCTCCTGCCTCCATTCCCTCCCATGAGAAATCGGACTTTAGAACTAGGCTGTAGTTCAGTTGATAGAGTGCTTGCCTTGCATGCTGAAGCTCTGAGTTCAATCATCTCCTCTTTTCTGCCTAAATAAAAGGAAGGGTAACTTATCTTTTATAATAACTGAAGAAAACTGATGGGGAATATACTGTGTATGTTTATCTTATTGGTTGTTAAATAAAATACTGTTTGGCCAATGAGACAGCAAGATAGACAGGATTAGATGTCAAAGAGGATTCTGGGAAATGTAGTAGAGAAATGATGATCCAGACAGGAAGTGACATAGCAAGGAGACTCATATTTAAGCGAAGGAGAAACAGGAAAGGCCCTCTTTTCCCCTCCATTCCTGCTCCAGCAGCACAATGTAATCCACCGACAAGGAGGAATGCCAATAAGGTGTGCAATAAGATAAGTCTTATAAAATATATAGCTTTATGATAGTTAAGACTGAGCTAACAGATGAGAATCCTAGTCATTGGCCAAGCAGCATTGAACCTAATACAAGTTTCTGTGTATTCATTTGGGCCTAACTCGGGCAGGCAGCTGGCATAAAGCTCACACGTGGCGGTGGGGCTCAGGCAGCTTTTAGCGGAAAGATTTATCGTAACAGTCCTCCAAACATAAACAGTAATCAAAATATCAAATCTTCTCTTAAAATTTTAGGTCCTGTTTCTCTTTCCTAAAGATGTCTGGTACCTACAAATGAAGCTAATAGATTCTTTTCTGTGACACAATTGGCAGTATTGTTTTCCAGGATGATGCCTGAGTCCTTTATGAGGGGACTAATGTCAAATAACTCACATCTTGGGTTCCAGATGGAAAATTCTGCAAAGAGTTTTTGGTTCTCTACACTAAAATATTTTTGTTTGTTCATTTCTGTTCTTTAATTTTTTTCATTTTGTTTTGCTTTTTCCATATGACATTGTAATGCATTGTGTCATCTTTGAGACTTATAAAAATGTATTACATTTGACAAGGTTTGTCAAGTCTTCAGCTCACCATTCAACCTTTGGGTGCCCTGTGGGGAGAGCATAAATACTTTCCTATTCTTACATGGTTTCTGCAGGCAGTGGTGCCAGAAAAAGATGGATGGAGAAGGAAATAAGGTTTTAATGTCTAAGCAGTATATACATTTTAGGTCAAACTATGCATAAAGTTAAGAGTTATTTTTCTTAAAAATGTTCTAAATACCAGTTTCTGGCCCTCCAAATTTCTCCTCATTCTCCTTAGATTTTAGATTCTCTTTAGATTTAAAATTGTAGCATTGACTCTCATAAAACAGAATTTTAGCTATCTGAGAACAAATTTGGAAAATTCCAATAATCTCATTCACCAAATTGCATATCTGAATGTGGGGCTACCAGCCTCTGATCCCAGCACTGAAGGAGGAGGAGGAGGAGGAGGAGGAGGAGGAAGAGGAGGAAGATTTCAAGTGCAAAGCCATCTTATGCCATTGATACAGTGAGATCCTGTCTCAAAACCAGAATGGAGCTGGAGAGATGTCTCAGAGGCTAAAGTGTTTGGTGCTCTTGCAGAAGACTGGAGTTGGATTCCCCAAATGCTGTGTAGCTCACAACTGCCTGTAACTCCAGCTCCAGGGGATCTGACACTCTCTCCTGGCCTCTGTGGGCACCAGCACACATGCTGACATCCACATACAAAGACACATATATAAAATAAAAATAAATCTTTAAGGAGCAAAAGAAAACAGTTTTTAAGTATTGAAAACCTTTACATAGCACAAAAAACTATTTAGATATGGTTAATATTGTTAATGCTCAAATAAATTTTCTACACCATTTTCCTTTCCACTGAAAAACAGGACTTTCTGGTTATTTTTACAATTTTAAGATTATCCTTCATGGAGAGTCTTTGTCCACTTTTATATTAATCACTAAAATTGTTTACTCTCACTTTCTTTTATAATATTTATTTTTATTGTGTTTAATTATGTGTCCGTTGGGGGGGGGATTTATGTGCTCATAAGTACAGTGCCAAGAGGTCAGAGGTGTC